GAAAGAGAAGAGGTGCTTTATTTTAGGTGATTTGTATTTTTGTTGTAAGTGCTGTAAGACTGTTGATTTAAGAAAAAAAAACTGTTTACAGTTTGTTGTAACAGCCATTTTGGGGAGACGACCTATGTGTTAAGCCATTTTGTAAAGGCTTTGCCGTATAACCTTTTGATACATACTTGTTGCAGTTGCATTTTTGATGAATAAAACTTCACAAAATGTTTCTACCGGATGGCATGAGCTCATGCTGTTCTATTTGTCCAAATGTAACAAGTAGAAACCTCATTACAGAAATGAAAAAAGACAGATCGACAGTTTCAGGTTTATTCAAGAAATGAAAGTCCATTCAAAACGGTTCTGTAGAGTGAAATTAAATCAACCTATTTAAATAAATTATCAAAATCCATAAAACCAGAAATATCTCCCCGCTAGGAGATTCCCTTCAATTCTGAGGTATACCTCCTATGTGCTGGCCATTAAATCCAGTTAGAAATCTTTGCAATGAGAAATCCTGTACTGTAATATAATGCAAATGCACTGACTGTTGGTGCACAGCAGACATTTTAGGTATATGTGCAAAAATGCAAACCTTTTAAAGGTACAAACACTGTCAAAAATTCTGCTAATAGACTGAAATCGGGACTGGACTAGAGATAACAAGCTTGACGTCATAGACAAACAAAACTACATCATTCAAGTGATTTATTAAACTGGTTAAATAACTAAATGACTTCCAGAACAATATCATGGAAATGTTCCAAAATAATAAATTAGATTGGATTTTAAATGAGCTCTCATTAAATTAGTGAGCAAATACTACTGACAGCACCATCTAAGCCCTATTTATGATGATCACAAAAGTGTGGATCATAATTGCTAACGGTCACATGACAGAAAAACCTGTAGTTACTAAATTTAGTAGCAACTATTAATTGTACCTTTGAAGCAGACACAACTTCTGTGCAAACAGGTGTTAAAAATACACATAAAACTACTGATAAAGAACAATCCGTACACTTTGGTGTTTTTGTTTAACGTTATCCCTTCAAATGAGAGGAATCTAACAAGGTCGAATACTTGCACTGTTGACATTCAACAGATCCAAATAAATCCACTTATAAAATCATACATAAAACCAAACAAAAAGAATTAATTTCTCAGGTAACTGGCATTGATGATGGAACTGGCTGTGGTACGAGATGTACTGATGGAGATGAACTTTTCAAAGTGCAAATTACATAGATATTAAATTGGGAAACCAGACTGACTGTATAGTGTTTGGCATTTGCATGCTCACCTAAAAGAACACTAACAGCATTTTGAGGGCTAACAAGAAAAGTTAGCCGGTTATTGAAAATGAAAAGTCATCAGGTTAACTACATTAACCTGCTCAGATGAGTAGCTCCATCCTAGCACAGTTTCCTCTTTCCAGTTGACTTTAACATATGTTGGCCAAACTGCAAAAGAAATGGCACAAAATGACTATGGCACTAAAACAAAATACGTGAGAGATCAGTTTTTCAAGAAATAGAATTTCTCTTACCAGTGGTGTTTCTATGTGGGTCTTATTCTCAGTGGCTGGCAAGTTAAAGTTGCCATCACATTCACTGTCACTTCTGTAGCGGTGAGCAAACTTGCGTTTCAGGGCCTCTGCGATTAATGTTGCAGCATCTGTGGGCTCAACAGGTTTTGGTTTCGTGTCCTCTTGATGACTGAACGAAAGGATAATTGAACCTTACTGGTAAGAGATTAGGATGAGGTTTGAATGTCATCAGATTAAGCATTATAACATTTACCTCTTAACGGAACGCAGCTTCACTTTCCCCATGTCTTTCAGTACGTCTAGCATGTTGGGAAGCTCTGGCTTTTTAGGTGCAGAGTCCAGTATTGTCTTCTGCTCTGCCTTTTTCCCACGCCGCTCTCGGATGAGGTCAATGGCAGAATAGCTTCTCTGCATGCCAGGGGCGGGACACGGAGGAGGTGGCGGAGGTGGAACTGGAGTCATTGGTGGAGCTTGGGGTACGGGGGGACCACCTGGCGCTGGAGCTGAAGCAAAAATTGCAACTTTAAATGGGTAAAAACGACCAATACCAAAGTATTTACTAGCAGAGTGCTATTTTATGTCTTTTGCAAGAACGCCAACACTTTGCAAGCAAACGTGTTGCACATGCCTAACGTTAACATTACTGTGGCATATATTTGGGGCATAAAGAACAACTAACCAGTGTTGTTGTTAAATAAAACTAATCAATCAACATTGTAAATAAAATTTTTTTTATATGTTTCCATGTACCAAAGTGTGTGGGATTCATTCATTTTTGCGGTTAAATATAAATACAAATATGCTGAGAAAATCAAAAAATATGAAAATCATCTAACAGCGTTTCTGCAGGTTTTGTGAAGGTAAATTTAAGACCTTTTTGCATTGATGATGGAACTGGCTGTGGTACGAGATGTACTGATGGAGATGAACTTTTCAAAGTGCAAATTACATAGATATTAAATTGGGAAACCAGACTGACTGTATAGTGTTTGGCATTTGCATGCTCACCTAAATGAACACTAACAACATTTTGAGGGCTAACAAGAAAAGTTAGCCGGTTTTTGAAAATTACAAGACATCAGGGTAACTACATTAACCTGCTCAGATGAGTTGCTCCATCCTAGTACAGTTTCCTCCTTCCAGTTGATTTTAACATATGCTGTCCAAACTGCAAAAGCAATGGCACAAAGTGACTATGGCACTATGACAATATACATAATTTTTTCAAGTGATTTCTCTTACCTCTGGTGTTTCTACATGGGTCTTATTCTCAGGATCTATCAAGTTAAAGTTGCCATCACATTCACTGTCACTTCTGTAGCGGTGAGCAAACTTGCGTTTCAGGGCCTCTGCGATTAATGTTGCAGCATCTGTGGGCTCAACAGGTTTTGGTTTCGTGTCCTCTTGATGACTGAACGAAAGGATAATTGAACCTTACTGGTAAGAGATTAGGATGAGGTTTGAATGTCATCAGATTAAGCATTATAACATTTACCTCTTAACGGAACGCAGCTTCACTTTCCCCATGTCTTTCAGTACGTCTAGCATGTTGGGAAGCTCTGGCTTTTTAGGTGCAGAGTCCAGTATTGTCTTCTGCTCTGCCTTTTTCCCACGCCGCTCTCGGATGAGGTCAATGGCAGAATAGCTTCTCTGCATGCCAGGGGCGGGACACGGAGGAGGTGGCGGAGGTGGAACTGGAGTCATTGGTGGAGCTTGGGGTACGGGGGGACCACCTGGCGCTGGAGCTGAAGCAAAAATTGCAACTTTAAATGGGTAAAAACGACCAATACCAAAGTATTTACTAGCAGAGTGCTATTTTATGTCTTTTGCAAGAACGCCAACACTTTGCAAGCAAACGTGTTGCACATGCCTAACGTTAACATTACTGTGGCATATATTTGGGGCATAAAGAACAACTAACCAGTGTTGTTGTTAAATAAAACTAATCAATCAACAAACATTGTAAATAAATATTTTTTTATATGTTTCCATGTACCAAAGTGTGTGGGATTCATTCATTTTTGCGGTTAAATATAAATACAAATATGCTGAGAAAATCTAAAAATATGAAAATCATCTAACAGCGTTTCTGCAGGTTTTGTGAAGGTAAATTTAAGACCTTTTTAAAACCAACTAAAGACAAAATTATGGAATAAATTGAAGGGGACACAAAGAAATTCATCAGAGTTTATGATTAAAAAAAGAACAAATATCTGCCTATAGGGTCAGAAAAAGTATTTTTTCAAAGAGAAAATGTATTAAGGGAAAATCATTATTTTTTTCTTACCCATTGATAGACACTTGTTCTTGTTTTGAGCATAAACCCACTTAATTTTGTTACATTTCTCAGAAAACAAGATTTTATATCTTCATTTTGCATCTCACGTAAATGTATCTTGATTCAAGGAAGTTGAGATTTTCTTATTGGAAAACAAAACAAAAACACTGAGTAAGAATACTTTTTTTTTTTTGCAATGCATGCAACATTTAAGATCATGAATTTAAGACTTTTGGCCTTGATTTTTTGAGAACTTTTAAAACTAGAAAATAAAATGTAAACTACAAATATCAAAACAAAAGCTACTTCAAAATACTAAAATGGCATATACACATAATACTAAAGTAGCACTCCAACTAACCTGTGGACTGAGCACTTTGCTCCTGTGCCTGAACGATCTGTGCAATTTGAGCTCTAAGTTTGGCCAGCTCAGTTTCCAGAGCACTGATCTTCTGAATGGCTTCATCGTTGATGATCGTCTGACTCTGTGGCGCAGGTTCAGCCTGGTGCAAGCTGGGTAACGACTGCCGACGTCTCAGGGGTCTGCACTGCTGGGTGCGAAAAAACAACCCCGAATCCGCCTCAAACCTGCAGAACACACATATGATAATTACAATATTCAAATCTCTGTTTTCTAAATCAATTTAGAAATATTTTTACCTATTCCTGCCAGCACCATCGCTCTCTTCTCTGTCCATCCAGCCCACATCAGCGAGTGTGGCCACAAGTCCATTTGGCCCATTTGAATTGTTGAGGAAACTCGCTCCTGCAGCGAATCGATGAAGCTACACGACCCAAAGACAGTTTAAAGGACGGTTAATAATTACAACACCTGCTCAGGGCACTTTACAAGTCTCACAACAATGACAAACAAACCCTCACAGACACTCAAGCACTCAAACAATGTCAGAACTACAACAGCAGAGCAAGCACCAAATGTTTTCACAGCCACGGCAAAGAAAACAGCACCAGGGAAAGCGGTTTAAACATTGCCTAGCGAATAATGAAGCAATTAGAACATTGCAACGGCAACTTTTTTTTAAAGAAATCTTGGCCTAGAATTTTCAACAATGATCCAGAGAACTGACCTAAAGCAGACATGCTGCCTTCCTGACATACAGGACAGCTGGAAGGAAAGGCAGAGAAGAGAGAAACAGAGACAGTAATAAAAGTTTCAAGGTGAATTTAATGTCATCATACTTTTGTTTTAAAGGTTAGACGGTAGGAAAAGGCTAGATTAGATATTGTGAGCTGAAACCTGTCCTCGCGACTCATGATTGTTTATTGTCAGCACACTGATGGAATCAAAACAGAACAGGACAGAAATATGATGATATGGGAGAACTGAATAATGAAAGGCCAAAGATGGAGAATGTTAAAGGTTTTGAGAGGCAAAAATGCAATAAAAGTGGAAAACACTGATAATAATGGAATGAAAATGAATGAAGACCACCTGAAAATACTAAAATAGAAAACAGAAAAAGACATAACAGGCACTCAAAATCATTTGTAAATATCCTTTGAATTGTCTGTTGAAAGAATTACAAAAAGTTGAGAGATTCTTTTATGTTTTTGACACATTTGAATGAACAAAGTCTGATATTTGACCTGAAAATGGACACGAGGGCAGGGTGCTAAGGGAAGATTTGTGGCAATTCTTCTGACAATACTCCTGGATGACCCATAAGGCTTTGATGATGAAACTGTAGCCTAAGAGAGATATAAATATAATCATTCTTCTAATCACAGGATGAGTGCAGAGCAAGAAATGTACATATAATTCTGTGCATGAACTTACCAGGTCCATTTCTATCCGTCTATGATTTCCACTCATCTTGTTACTTCACAGATCTGTCTCATCTTCAAGGATCAGTGCTAGGTCATCGTCAGATCAAAACCTAAACTTGTAAGAATCACTTAAATACACTTAAATAACACAATATTTTTTTTTTATTATTAAAATGACATCTTTTAGACTAGAGTACCCTCTATGTTATGATCCCTGTAAAGTGTCATTCTCACATAGCAGAAGAGCATCTTGTACAGACGGTCTCCTCCACTCCTGCTCTCCTAAACAGTCACTTTGTGGCAAACAGACATTGTTCTACGTGATGTTCACCTTGGCATTTACCAGAAAACACTGAGCTACTAAACATTTTGTAGTTGTTTCTTCGTAACGCACCTGAGTGTTTGTCACTAATAGATACCGCAAACAGAGGACTAGTGAACCGTCTACAAGCTTTATCACAAAGGTTAAAGGCGTTAAAACCCGAGTTAGCGATTTCTAATACGACATTACAAGAAAATATCGATGTCTTACCGTCTAAAACGCAGTGTAACAGATGTCCACTGTGTTTTTCCACAGTGCGGGAGTCGTCGTTTGGGAAGAAGGGCGGGACTTAATAATATTGGCCAATGGGGTTTGAGAATATTCTAACAATGGGTGGGTTCTATGAGTATGGAGTCAACCACTGGTTTAGAGTAGTGGATTGACAATACAACTGTCCAGTCATAAGTGAGTTATGACTCACACACACGCGGCATGCAGGAAGCATGCAGGAACGCATCGTGAGCGGTGTTTGGATGACTATGACCGGTTTAAAAAGAAGACAATTTTAAGTTATTAATTAAATTCTGTTTAGTTTTATATTCAGAAATAAAAAATGTCCATCTTACAATCTGTTTATCTAAGTTTTATAAAGGACAACACTGAACAATAATACCAACAACAACAACAAAAGATCGAAAACATTGGTTGTTTGGAAATCATTTGAAATATTTACCTAAATAAAATCGTATCAAACCTGTGCTTTATAGTTTATTTATTTATTTATGTTTCGCCCTTCTATTGTTTTATGTATTGTACTGGCTGACGATAAAAATGCACAATAATAAATTGTTCTTCACGTTTTTCCTGAACTAGACCATCTTTATCTGTTAGTCTACATTAGAGGAAATACAATTGTTTTATGTTTCTTTTCTGTCTATAGCAATTACCTTTGTTTTGTCATTTATTGTTTGTCGTGTATTGTTTTGTCATGTATTGACAATACACGTATTGTCATGTATTTTAGTAGGGACCCAATAAATAAAATATATTAATAGTATTTTTACTTGCTTCCTTGGCTCTGATGCTTTGTATGTATTTTCGCAATACAATAAAAAAAACAATAACAATAGCCAAATAAACAAATACTTTAGTACGTTTTGGTTCAGATTTGCTTTATTCTATAATAATAATAATTCTATAATTTGCTTTAATACTCATTTATATTGTATATATCATGTTGTCTCTTAGTAAAACCCTTTCTGATTGGTCAAGAACGCATGGCGTCATAGTCCACATCCTCCAATCAGTCTGTCTAAATCCAGGAAGTGTAGTAAAGGGTGCTAAAAGCTCCGCAGATAATGGCCAAACATACCCGACCAGAACAGCTGTCATAGAGACTTTTAACCATATTCACTGTCGTCGTTATATCACAGTTGCGTATCATTTGTCGGCGGGTTTGATTCTTTGACTGGACAGGATCATCGGAAGCGAGGAGTCGTCCTGGGCGTGTTTGCTGTAAGGTTATGCGTGGACAACAGTGCCACAACACACACACACAAGGTTAACGAGATAGATACCACGCACACAAGAATCAAATGCTCTGATTATACATTTATTACTATTATTTGGCTTCATACAGGTGTATATTTCTGTGCGTTCTGATAGAAATAGACTTTGCCTTTCTCTTTTTGCGTGCTGGCATTGTTCATAGAAAGACACATTCAGATCTACATGTATTGATGTCTGTAGACTAAATATGAATGAGAAATAAGCTCCAAATGTTTGCTTTTACGTGCAGTTTTATGATTCATATGAGAATTCAGATTCGAGATAGATACCACGCACACAAGAATCAAATGCTCTGATTATACATTTATTACTATTATTTGGCTTCATACAGGTGTATATTTCTGTGCGTTCTGATAGAAATAGACTTTGCCTTTCTCTTTTTGCGTGCTGGCATTGTTCATAGAAAGACATTCAGATCTACATGTTTTGACGTCTGTAGACTAAATATGAATGAGAAATAAGCTCCAAATGTTTGCTTTTACGTGCAGTTTTATGATTCATATGAGAATTCAGATTGGCATTGCCTTGTGATGCCGTGTTAATGCTAGCCGGTCAGCACAGGGCCCATTTAAAGGCCTCGTAATGCTATGTTGTGCTATGTGAATCAGACATGACCATCATGGGTCATTCAGTTCACGATGAAAGCCAATAATAAGCCACGTGTATAGAGACCATCTGTAAATCAATGCGAAACGACGCACGCGCGACAGCAATGCATATTGACTGAGTGACGTCTGTCAATAAACCTCAGATTCGTGTTTTTTTGGTTTAAATAATAAATGTACAAAAAATGTATATTTAAAAATAAAATACAAGAGGTTGAGCAGACAACTTTTTTTTATCAGGCTAATGTAATTAAGCTTAAACCAGCTTTTATGTTGTTTTTGTTGCTTAGTGTGCTTTCTGTCACTGTCAACATGTTCCGTGATATCAGAAGTAATCCAGTTCTTATTTTTATTCCCTCTCAGCTAAGATCTGTGTGTTTTATGTGCATGGCCCTTGGTGTGGGAGCACCATGAGCGGGGAGCCTGATGCCTTGGCTGTGGTGAATCAGCTGAGGGACTTAGCTGCTGACCCCCTCAACAGGCGAGCTATTGTTGAAGATCAAGGCTGCTTGTCAGGCCTCATTCTCTTCTTCGACCATCCCAGTCCACAAGTCGTCTACTCTGCGCTATTGGTAAGATTCTGTTTGTGAGGCATCTGCAGTCAAGACTTGTGCAGATGGTTTTTCTGTAGTGACCTGCGAGATGTTTACTACCATGTTAGCATAGTGGTAGTTAAGGGTTCAAATTTGGAGCCATTATGAACTCAACTATTTTGTTTGTTGATATTCTAAAACAAACAGTAATGTTTTGATAGCTACAATTAATTTGATAATTTTTCTGGGAAAACTTATGAGTTGTTTATTTATAGTTTACTGTAAGCGATTTTAGCTTTAACTTCAATTCAGATATCCCAATATAAAGCATAATAGACAGCATTTACTATTTTAGAATTTTTCTTCTTTATTATCAAGTTAACTCATTAGACCTCCAGACATTTTTAAAATTTCCAAGTAGTTTTATATCAAAGTATTCAAGTATAAACCAACCAGATCACTCGAAGCCTACACAGCCGCTATATTTGTTATAAATATTTATTTATTTATCACTCAAATAGATTCGATTTCAATTAAAATAATAAATGATAATAAGAAAATTATTATTATTATTATTATTATTATTATTATTAAGCTCATAGTTTGATACCAAGGCATGGTAGTTAAGGGTTCAAATTTGGAGCCATTATGAACTCAACTATTTTGTTTGTTGATATTCTAAAACAAACAGTAATGTTTTGATAGCTACAATTAATTTGATAATTTTTCTGGGAAAACTTATGAGTTGTTTATTTATAGTTTACTGTAAGCGATTTTAGCTTTAACTTCAATTCAGATATCCCAATATAAAGCATAATAGACAGCATTTACTATTTTAGAATTTTTCTTCTTTATTTTCAAGTTAACTCATTAGACCTCCAGACATTTTTAAAATTTCCAAGTAGTTTTATATCAAAGTATTCAAGTATAAACCAACCAGATCACTCGAAGCCTACACAGCCGCTATATTTGTTATAAATATTTATTTATCACTCAAATAGATTCGATTTCAATTAAAATAATAAATGATAATAAGAAAATTATTATTATTATTATTATTATTATTATTATTAAGCTCATAGTTTGATACCAAGGCATTCATATCAAACAATCAGATTAAGCAAAGCCCACCCAGCTGTCCATAGACATGACGCATTACTGCCTCCTGCTATATTTGTATCTACAAATAGTCATTTGTAACCGATTGTTGTTATTATTATTATTATTATTATTATTATTAATGTTATTATTATTTAATTACTGTTATTTTTTAAATAGTTGGAAATTGAGGCATTTGTATCAACCAATCAGATCATTCATTGCCCACCCAGCTGTCCATAGACCCATCAAATGACTGCCACCTGCTGTCCAGTATTGTTACAATGCTTAGCCTAACTTCTTCAGCAATGTCCAGACCAGAAAGTGTTTCCTCTTCCTCTGTTAGATGGACAGAGACGTCTCTGTCCACGTTCCCCAGTAGGATTTGAGAATGTTCCAGAGCATCTTGTTCTTCAGTGGAAGCAACAACATCTGACATTCTGTGTAAAGGAGCTGATATGGTCAATGTCACAAATTACCTTATTTGATTGGTGAGAAATAGGCACAACCTATAATAATGTCAGTGTTTTTAAATCCTAAAACTCTAATCCCAGTTTAAAATTAGATTTTGAGCCCCAAAATTTGAATATGCCCTCAGTTTTGGACCTCTCTTTATGTTTTTTCATTTTTAGAAGGACATCACACCTGTAGAGACATTTGGACAATGTTGGAATAACACACTTTCTTTAACACATTCTGACCCAAGTAGTTCTTGGTGTTCTGTTAACGGATTTGTTATCACAGTGGTGCCTGGCGGTTTGCCTCTGTAATGGCCCTGCGTGACCCTTAATGGCTTTGTGTCCTTCCAGGCGGTGCGCTACCTGGCAGAATGCCGCTCCAACAGGGAGAAGATGAAGGACGAGCTGGGAATGATGCTGAGCCTGCAGAACGTCATGCAGAAGTGAGTCGCTCCCGTCACGCTGCCACAAAACATGAAGGCAACACGAGCTCGCTTTGCACTTCCCTGCAGAAAACCTCACCCTGCTGCTTTAGCTGAAGTGAATGTGTGTGGTGGGCAGATTTTAAGCGCACGAGAATGGTCG